GGGAAAATGCCCATTCTTTATTTTCGCACATGCGCAGTTGTACATCTCTCATAGGGCATAACTGTACCAGTGTAAGAACACAATTTATAACATATTAGTCTATATGTTAACACAGAGGCTACCCGGAACATATCCTAGTCCGCGTGGTCGAAACAATCTGGCCTCTCCATGCTTCCAGGCAACTTCTTGCATTCATAGCATCTCATAAATTCCTAAATACCAGTATAGATGGGTTAGATGAGAATGTCACAAAAAAATGCACACTCTTCAATGGGGCAGAAGGCAGTGTATTGTTGTGATTCTGTCTGGCCAGATAGCTAGCAACCATGACAAGAAACTACCATGTGGGGAATCGTACGTGGCTTGTTTCAGTTAGTTTTATCTGGTTCTTGATACTATGTTTTGTTTTGACGTGTTTTGACTGATGTCACGTCTATACTATGGCTGAAATTCGCTAGCTAGCTAACCAACTACTGTAACGATGTATTTGAGTGACAACAAGTGGTCATTGTGCAACTTTATTTATGTCTTCAATAAACATTGGAGACTAAATATAGTTTACATGTTGTCAACAATCTAAGCCAACACTGTCTGTTTTGCCCAATAGTTGCGCACACATTTATTTTGTTGCTAAACAACCAACCTGTCTATACGACTGGGAAAAATCTATTTGAACGCCCCTCCAACTGGTAAATACTAGTGGGAAACTAATCGATCATCTCTGAACTCCAACTTCTCCCACATGCTGAGCTCTGAAATCACATACTAAGAAAATGACCTTGATAATAGCCTTTTCGGCAGTTAAATGCAACAACAAAACATTATTTATAAAAATCAGTTAATAAGGTTTTTGAACACTATAATTTGTTTACGAGCATGATAGCTGGACTATTAGTATATGGTTGACTCAGCTTGTTTGCCAGCCAATCGGCAATCTCAACAAGTTCAAAGCATGTGAACACACACAACTCGTTGCTCCAAGCAGTATTTTCCGAGTTTCTCACTTGTTATGAACACAGCATTATATTTGTTTATATTTTGGATCTTGAATTACATACAGTTGAAGTCGGAAGTTTACATACACTTAGGTTGGAGTCATTAAAACTTGTTTTTCAACCACTCCACAAATTTCTTGTTAACAAACTATAGTTTCGGCAATCTACTTTGTGCATGACACAAGTAATTTTTACAACAATTGTTTACAGACAGATTATTTCACTTATAATTCACTGTATCACAATTCCAGTGGGTCAGAAGTTTACATACACTAAGTTAACTGTGCCTTTAAACAGCTTGGAAAATTCCAGAAAATGATGTCATGGCTTTAGAATATTCTGATAGGCTAACTGACATCATTTGAGTCAATTGGAGGTGTACCTGTGGATGTATTTCAAGGCCTACCTTCAAACTCAGTGCCTCTTTGCTTGACATCATGGGAAAATGAAAATAAATCAGCCAAGACCTCAGAAAAAAATTGTAGACCTCCACAGGTCTGGCTCATCCTTGGGAGCAATTTCCAAACGCCTGAAGGTACCACGTTCATCTGTACAAAGAATAGTATGCAAGTATAAACACCATGGGACCACACAGCCACCATACCGCTCAGGAAGGAGACGCGTTCTGTTTCCTAGAGATGAACGTACTTTGGTGCGAAAAGTGCAAATCAATCCAAGAACAACAGCAAAGGACCATGTGAAGATGCTGGAGGAAACCGGTACAAAATGATCTATATCCACAGTAAAACGAGTCCTATATCGACATAACCTGAAAGGCCGCTCAGCAAGGAAGAAGCCACTTCTCCAAAACCGCCATTAAAAAGCCAGACTACGGTTTGCAATTGTACATGGGGACAAAGATCGTACTTTTTGGAGAAATGTCCTCTGGTCTGATGAAACAAAACAAGAACTGTTTGGCCATAATGACCATCGTTATGTTTGGAGGAAAAAGGGGGAACTTGCAAACCGAAAAACACCATCCCAACCGTGAAGCACGGGGGTGGCAGCGTCACGCTGTGGGGGTGCTTTGCTGCAGGAGGGACTAGTGCACTTCACAAAATAGATGGCATCATGAGGAAGGAAAATTATGTGGATATATTGAAGCAACATCTCAAGACATCAGTCAGAAAGTTAAAGCTTGGTCACAAATGGGTCTTCCAAATGGACAATGACCCCAAGCATACTTCCAATGTTGTGGCAAAATGGCTTAAAGAGAACAAAGTCAAGGTATTGGAGTGGCCATCACAAAGCCCTGACCTCAATCATATAGAACATTTGTGGGCAGAACTGAAAAAGCGTGTGTGAGCAAGGAGGCCTACAAACCTGACTCAGTTACACCAGCTCTGTCAGGAGGAATGGGCCAAAATTTACCCAACTTATTGTGGGAAGGTTGTGGAAGGCTACCCGAAACGTTTGACCCAAGTTAAACAATTTAAAGGCAATGCTACCAAATAATAATTGAGTGTATGTAAACTTCTGACCCACTGGGAATGTGATGAAAGAAATAAAAGCTGAAATAAATCATAAAAATAAAGTGGTGATCCTAATTGACCTAAGACAGGGAATTTTTATTAGGATTAAATGTCAGGAATTGTGAAAAACTGAGTTTAAATGTATTTTGCTAAGGTGTATGTAAACTTCTGACTTCAACTGTAGGTCCAGACTGTAATTACAGCATTCTTAATTCTGTAAAGTTACAAAGCCCAGGGATACTTTGCTGTGGGCCTTTTTTCAAACATCATCCCACATAAAGAAAAAGGTGTGCTACGTAGTATGGGGTGCTGTCGGATTTAATGGAACTTCAGAGTTCCGACTGGGAAGTTTAATTTGAACGACCCTCCAAGTAGTAATTATGCCACGTTCAAAACAACTGGGAACTCTGAAATCTCTGAGTTCAGTTCAGTATAATGAAGACAACTGGAACTTGGGTAAAAAACGAGGTCCGACTGGGAAAAATAATTTTAAATGGTCATCCAAGTCGGAATTCCAAGTCGGGAACTCTTTCTAGAGCTCCAACTTTCCAACATTAAGATCACTGACGTCATGATTTGACCTAGTTTTTTCAGAGTTCCCAGTTGTCTTGAAAGCACCATTACACAAGCCTAAACACTGAGAAAATGTTGATACCAAATGCCGCGTTGAAAACAATTGGGAACTCTGAAAAATACGAGATAAAATCATGACTTCAGTGATCTTCAGGTCAGAATGTCGGAGCTCTAGAAAGAGGCCAGAGTTCCTGAGTTGGAATTCCGAGTTGGATGACCGTTCAAATAGATTTGATCCAGTCGGAGCTTGTTTTTTTCCGAGTTCCCAGTTGTTTTGATCGCACTGAAGTCAGAAGTCTGAGATTTCCGAGTTCCCAGTTCCCAGTTGTTTTGAATGCGGCACGAGTTGCAGAGTTGTGACGTTTCACCACTTACCTTTTATATTTTCAACCAAAAGATGACAAGAACTATTACAAAAAATTACAAACTTATCAATGTGGATAATGTAGATAACCAATTTTGACCATATTGTTAATGTCAAGCAAGCTAGCTAACTTTATTATTAGCAACGTTAGCTAGCTTATCAAGCTAGCTAAAATGTTATTGGTTGAAGAATTGGTCCGACTTCAAAAACACTTGAACGTAATCATGTCAGATTTACGACTTCCCATTTTCCAGTTTTTACTTCCCAAGAGCACATGAATGCCGCGTTCATGTCATGAATGATCCGAGGAACGACTTGTCTGCATAGGAGGAACGACTTGGAATGTTCAAGTGCTGGGAGCTCGAAAGGAATGCAAGAACCATTCTCTATTGACAGCCGAAATCACGGCCATGTTTGTTGACATTTTCAGTGGTGCGTGACATCAGAGTTCAGCATGTGGGAAAGATCGGGGTCCAGATATCATACTCAAGTTTCCTGGTCATAATTACGAGTTGGAGGGGCTTTCATCTGCATTTTTCCCAATAGGAAGGTCGTATTTACGAGATCCCGACATGACATGAACACGGCAGAATGCCCCATAAGGTCATTGCCATCTCTTTTTTTCATCTCAACACTTGCAACAAGGAATACATTATGTCAACAGTACACACCATGAAAATAATTTTGCTGTCTTAGTTAAGAATTTAACATTTCTGATGCAGTTCATATTTATGCAATAAAACACTTGAATACAGGGTTTCAATAAAATGTAATATTAGTCAAATAAACCATAAAAAACAGTAAAGAAAATAGGTTACAGGTGCAGTACACATTTAAATAAGCACAACATTCAGGAAGTGTGCATAATCTTAATTTCTGTAGTTGTGTTATATAATATTAGTTTTTTTCATTATATATGCTGTATATATAAAACATTGATAACTGACTTGAACATCTCAACTAACAATGTTAAGATTGTTTATAATAAGCTAATTAAACAAAATATGTTACTAGAACTATTAGCTATTTACGGTAGTCCTACATGTTCAGTGCAAATGAATATGTTCGAGGTAAGATGCGTATAGAGGAATTCAGCAGTAGTTTTCCTTTTTGTTTATTTATACATTTACTCTATAATTTGTCTTTTGCATTCCTTTGCACAAATCAATGCATTAAAATTCACACAGTACTCCTTGATTTTTTGACACAGAATGAGTAAACAACATATACAAAGTCACAGTAACAAAGGCATAACAAAATATCAGAATGCAAATATATATATTTTTTATGCAATGAAAACGATATCGCCAGGCACCCCTATTTGGAACAACCCCACATTACCTCCAGCGTTTAATTACAACACCCTTAAGTCCTGGTTCCAAAGTGGCATCGTGAATTTTGAACGTGTGCTATGATGGAGAACTGCAGGGTGGTGTTGCTGCTGGGTCCTGGGGGTCAAGGAGGCCTCAAATCAGGGGGATCTAGAAAGGAATACAGAAGAAGAGGGTGAAGTTAGAAAAGACAGATGAATGGGTTATGGATGGGTGAAATGTCAACTCGGTGCAGAACTATTAAGTTATTAACTTATATTGAAGTTCAACCAATTACCTCATTGTCCTGGTCCTGTTGTTGTTGCTCCTGATTCTGATCCTCCTGCTGGTTCTTGTCCTGGTCGTGGTTCTGCTGTTTGGCCGTTGTAGGTCTCTCCCTCCAGGCTTGGAGGTTTAATTGCGGGATACGGTTGCAGTTGGTGAGTCTGTTGTTCCCATTATTGGGGATGCTGAAGGCGTCAAGGGGCACGGTCGAAATGCCAGTGTTGTCACAGATGATCCGAGCCAGAGAGGCACGACTCAGGCTATCCCTCTGTGCTGAGGTGAAGACACCTGTGTTTTCATACCACAGCCTAGGGATCAACAGGCAAGATGAGGACACATGCATACGCTGACAGACAAAACACACTTGAACAACTCACAACACCACATCCAAAAACACACACCTGTCTCCCTGGCGGATCCTCTGGAACTGGGTGGCGATGAGGCAGGCAAAGAGAGGTCCGACTCGGCCCCTGACTACAAATGGTTCAGCCACGCCCCCCATCCACACGTCAATGTTAGCTGGGGTGCCGTAGAGCTGCAGCAATCTGCGGGCCAGGTCTCTGTTGTTCAGAACTACACCCAGCTCGGCCTCGTTTGAAGGCGTTGAGAGCCCACAGGATTTACGCCAAGCATTGTAGCCTAGGTTACGGGACAGAAATAAAATAATGACTGCATGGAACAGCTTGGTAGAGATATATCAAGGAAGAGAGAGAGAGATGGTTGACATTTTCTAGTTGGTGTTAACATGCCTAAAGGTTTAGCTGTGATGTAAGTAGAACGGTACAGATGTGTTTATCTGTGGTATCAGTATAGTGGTATGGAGGATAAGGCAAGTGTGTACCAGGCAGGCCATGGTCGCGTCCACGCTGCATGTTGAGGGAGCCCAGGTCCAGAGCCAGGTGTTCTACGAACTGGAAGAGTCTCTCCCTCACAGCGTCCACCAACATGTGATCTTGGGTGTTCAGCTTGGCTGGGCGACCCACCAGACCACGGATCAGAGGGTCGATACCACCTAAAGTAGGACAGAGAGAGAATATAATGTTTACATTTGTAACCTTTTCTCCATCATATACTGTTAATAATCCAGAGAGTGAATTAGCTTACAACTGGCAAGGGGTCTGCAAAGCATCCATCCCTATCTGTCCCACCACCACTCACCCTCAAACACCAGCCTCCAGGGCGTGAAGAAGGCCTTGAACAGGGGCACACTGGGGAACATGGTATTCTCCCTGTAGTTGCTGTCCAGGCGGGACAGCATGGGCTGGATGGCCAGGTGGGCAAAGCGGTACGCTGCTGTAGCAAACACGTTGGCAATGCTGGGATCAACGTTCTCGTTGTATCCAGGGTAACGGCCCAGCTGCCGGGCCATGATGTCTGGGCCCACGATGTGCGGCAGGTAGTCCCGGAACACAAACAGCTAGGAGGGTGAGAGTAGATATATTTTTAGGTGTGTATTTGATAGGGAAGCTGTGTCAATGTGAGAATATTCAAGAATAGTTATGTGTGTGAGAACGAGAAGCATAGGGAAGGAGAGTGGGTGTTAGAAAGTATGCACTGGATGTCTAGTGGAGATAATGAACTGACACCATGGGTATTAGTGATATGTGTCAGTTTGTGGTACCTGGGTGTAGGCGCCCATGATCTTGCGAGCCTCCTGATAGAGTGTCTCAGCATCCCATTGTGGATTGAGACGACACAGGGCACGGGCCAGACGGTTGTGCTCACGCATGAACAACGTGTGAATGGATGTTAAGGCTATGTTCTCATCCACACGGGCATCACCTGGTAGACAGAGACTTACTGGTGAGGCCAAATAGTGATTGAGATGAACATCATACACATTGTGAGTCTGTATCCAGATAACTGTTGCACATGAAAGTCAAAGAATTACTCTAATTTTCTATTTTTGTCATCATTCTGTTCCTTAGACTTTAACCTAAATATACATTGGTCTACTCCTCAGACAAACATACTTAAAAGACTAACCTGCAATGAAACAGGGCACTTCCTTGGCATTGGTGTCATTGGTGACTCTCCTGCGGGTGGCACACATGTTCCCCTTCAAGTTAGTGAAGGGTAGCAACTCGCGCCCGTTGTCTGTGAAGTTTTTGTTGACACGCAGCAGGCCACCATCGTTGGTGAGTTCACGGAGGTCACGTGCCAGCCCATCCTCAGAGCCGTACACTTGCCCCAAGTCAAGGAAGGCCGTCAGGGAATTGATCTGCTCCCTCTTCGTGGCCACGCCACCGAAATTGAAAGCAGACTCCCCTGTGCCGCATGCAGGCGCTGATCTGAAGACTGGGATGCAGCTGTCTGGGCCAGTGGGCAAGCGTGGGTCTCTGGGAGGAATCTGGTCATGGAGGAAAAGACAAGATAGAGGTTGAAAACCTAATAATCCATTGACCATGGTTAGAAAAGGGCAAGATATGCAGGGATGACTGTATACACTCTTAGAGAAAAGGGTTCCAAAAGGGTTCTTTGGCTGTCCCCATAGGAGAACACTTTTTGGTTCCAGCTAGAACCCTTTTTGGTTCCAGGTAGAACCCTTCTGGATTCAATGTAGAACCCTCTGTAGAAAGGATTCTACATGGAACCGACAGGGGTTCTCCTATGGGGACAGCCGAATAACCTTTTAAGGTTCTAGATAGCACCTTTTTGTCTAAGAGTGTAGTCATAGTGCCTGCTGTAAGTGTTAGGCTGTGGGATGTGATGTGAGAGCTGTGACTGACCTGGATGGGGAAACAGGGCTCGGAGCGCTCACATTTCTCGTTACAGTTCAGGCCGTTGCTAAAGGAGCGGATGCTGGGGGAGAAGGGTGTGAACGTCATGTCATGGTCGTTCCACTGGCCAAAGAAGGTGACAAAGTGTGTGAACTCGCGATCGCTCACTACACCAGAGTCATTGGTTGCCAGGATACGGTTAGAGACCTCCCTTACCTGCACACAGGGAGGGAAGGAAGGATGGAGGGCAGAGGGAGAAGGATGAATACAATTATGTTACTTTATATCTAACTTTTGGCGACATAGTGGCAGTTATATTTTTATTTATATTTATTGGTATCATACCAGAGGGAGCACAAAGTTGTTGAAGCGCGTGTTTCGGTCCCAGCCATTGGGTCGAGAGACCCCATCGTCATACTGAGCAGGCAGCCAACGAGTGAAGGGGGTGTTTGAGGCTCCAAGACGAGGGTACTTCCTAATAAGCATGAAGAAAATACACATCCGAATTGAGAAACCTCACTTGAGAAACTCAAGGGATATGGCCTCATCTTCTACCGCCTCCATAGTCAGACCTCAGACATACACTGATTGCTCTTCCCCTTTTATTCCACGCTATACAACGACTGCGCACAAGGCAATGAAATTGTTGTGTGAAAGTATTAAACCTGCCATGCCCCTGGTGCTCTTACAGGTTGTTGCAGACACTGGTGGCTGTGCGATACTTGTTCATGTTGGGTGTGTTGCGGCAGGAGGGTTTGCTGACACGAGCTGCACAGCCAGTTACCCGGACAATGGTGTCTAGCTCCTCCGGTGTGAGCAGGTCTGAGAAACGAGAGAAGGAGCAAGGGATAAGGAAGACTTGTAATAAGGAATGTGTTCTTATTATGACTGTGTGTGTCTATGTCTGAGTGAATACGTATGGTTAATTTTTCACAAAGTGAATGTGTGAGTATCTGTGACGGTGTGTGCGACTGACCTGTTGCGTTGAGCGAGCGTTTGTGCAGCCTGTGCGTGCTGTGGACTTTCTCATGGATCAGTCTCAGGGTGTTCTCCAGGTAGTCTGCAGATCGTACAGCAGAGCGTGTGTCCCTGGCAGGCTGCTTCAGGAGACGCAGGACATCTGAGGGCCTGGTGGACTGCCCACGCACTCTCTCCAGACTCCTGGGATATGGATAAGCAGATGACAGAGTTATGAATAGAAACATGCTCCTATCAGTATAGAGGTAGATTTAGTGTACTAATCATTAGAAATTACTTTTCTAAAGGAAATACAAAAGGTACAAATAAAGTGAAATGAGGAAAAAAGAAAGGCTAGTGCAAATTCGTCTCTTCGACTGACTGAGAAAATTGCGCTAGTGCTAGTCATTTCATTTGACACAATTTACAAAGACAGAGATGATCGACTACATCTGAAGAGGTCAACTGTCAGGTTCACTCACTTTTCACGGGAGTACTTGTAGGCTTCATCTACGAGTCTCTTTGCCTCCTCCACTGAACTGTGAATGAAAGGGCCACCCAAACTTTCCTCTGTAGACAGGACTGGCTGGCTGAACATTAGGCACAACCCCAATGCCAGGAGGGAAGGAAACGGCTTCATCTCTGAAAAAAAGGGGGGTTCATCAGATGTCATCCTTTTAAAAAAGCTGCTTCTTAAATGTAATGTGTGCATATTTTTGCCAATAACTTGTCTCTTGTTAACTACAGAGACATCTCTAAAGTATTCACAAAATACAGCTTTTGCACACGATATTAATAACACAATCATGCATAAATCAGAATTACCATGGATAACAGAAAGAATTAGAATAAAACCTGATTATCAGACGAGACAAGAGAAACAGTGTATAAAATTGTTACCTTTGTTTGAACAACTCTTGTTGTGAAGTCTTGTTAAGAGGTCAACTCTTGTCTGAAGATGTATGGTGCTCTCTCAAACGGTTTAATTTATAGTCAGTGTTGCAAAGCCTCGCCCCCTGTAATCTGTCATTTCTCAGATGGGGTGTCTGACAGTTTGTAGTTCCTTCTTACTTCTTCCAAAAAGTCTGGCCTTGCCTTAACCTAATCAATCATTGACTGATAATATTATTTAACATTTTACTGCAGTGGGCTGAATCAGGGTTACACAGAGTGTTTCTTGCTAGTCTTAAACAAATGTACTTTGAAACAGAAGTATACACCTCACACACGGTTATGGGCTTAAAAAAATAAGACACCTATACCATGTCAGATTTCGCATTCCAATATTACACTTTATATACATCACAGAAGACTGAACTATAACAAAACAGTTTGACATAGAAACACCATTTGTTGAAATGTTTATTCATTATGAAATTGTGAAAAATATTAATAACATTCCACCCATGAGGCCACTAGTTAATTTGACCGCAGGAAAGGGCTACTGTGGTAATATTGATTAAATCAAGGCAAATGGTATTTGATTGAAAATGAAAAATAAGACTTACTCTCACCTGTCTTTGCTTAGTCTATAATTTGGCCAGCTGTTTCCTGCTAGAGCCCTTTTGCAGTAACATGAGTTATGTGATTGTGATGATTAGCTATGTCTTCGTTATATATCGTCTAGGCAAACAATAATGAATTAATGACTTTTTGGCTGTGTACTCAGACCTTCTTGATATAGGCACACTTACAACCAGCACAATAAAACACATTTGTGACCTTCTCCTGTTTTCGTTTTTTTTGTGAGGGGCCCCCAGCCAACCAGCAGAATCACCACTATTGTTTGCTTTGCATTTCTTCTGTGTATTCTTAGATATATTTTTTTTATATCTAGAACCTAAAAGGATTCGTTGCCTGTCCCCATGGGAAAACCCTTTGAAGAACCCTTTTTGGTTCCATGTAGAACACATGAAGAACCCTATTGGAACCCATTTTTGTAAGAGTGCAGCTATACAATATAAAAATTATTCAGGGGAATTGACATCATGCAACAGACTTGTGCATTGTAATTGAAATATATGCTTTAGGATTGTATCGTGACACTTATCTCAAGTCACAATTAAACTTTCGTCAAATAAACAATTGTCCATTGTGGGCAGACCCCAGAGTTAGTTATAGTCTATTTTTCACATGGAAAGATTGTTGTTTTGCGTTTTGTTGTTGCATATATGTGTTGTCATCATGCTCTTGCAAAACTTGCATTGTGTTGTTAGCACACAAAAACTGTTACTTGAGAAAGAGACCGCAATAGGGAAGTTTCAGTACAAAAGTAAGGTAATTAACTCCTAACATGACTAAGTTAATTTGAAATTAAACAGACACATAAATGCTTTGGACCTTGTTTAGAAATTCACCATAATTATTCCTTGTTTCAGGGAGTGACACTATTGATAATATCGTAGGAAGGGTGTTGTACAGTAACAATGTGTGGATGCAATGTATTTGCGCAGGGAATTTCGTGGTACCATATTGTTCTTTTGCATTGTTCTTTGTGGAATGTGGAATGAGGAAAGACAAAAGGAAAGCCTGAGGTAATATTCTACCTGTGATGATGATGTGTGTTCCATGATTAATCGAGTTTAGGGTTTGTGTCTGGTCAGGGGATGAGCATTTATAGTGCCTTGCAAAATTATTCATCCCCCTTGGCGTTTTTCCTATTTTGTTGCATTACAACCTGTAATTTAAATGTTTTTTTATTTGGATTTCATGTAATGGACATACACAAAATAATCCAAATTGGTGAAGTGTAATGAAAAAAATATTTTTTTCAAAGAATTCAAAAAATAAATAATGGAAAAGTGGTGCGTGCATATAAATGCACCCCCTTTGTTATGAAGCCCCTAAATAAGATCTGGTGCAACCAATTACCTTCAGAAGTCACATAATTAGTTAAATAAGTCCATCTGTGTGCAATCTAAGTGTCACATGATCTATCACATGATCTCAGTATATATACACCTGTTCTGAAAGGCCCCAGAGTCTGCAACACCACTAAGCAAGGGGCACCACCAAGCAAGCGGCACCATGAAGACCAAGGAGCTCTCCAAACAGGTCTGGGACAAAGTTGTGGAGAAGTACAGATCAGGGTTGGGTTATAAAAAAATATCCAAAACATTGAACATCCCACGGAGCACAATTAAATCCATTATTAAAAAATTGAAAGAATATGGCACCACAACAAACCTGCCAAGAGAGGGCCGCCCACCAAAACTCACGGACCAGGCAAGGAGGGCGTTAATCAGAGAGGCAACAAAGAGACCAAAGATAACCCTGAAGGAGCTGCAAAGCTCCACAGCGGAGATTGGAGTATCTGTCCATAGGACCACTTTAAGCCGTACACTCCACAGAGCTGGGCTTTACGGAAAAGTGGCCAGAAAAAAGCCATTGCTTCAAGAAAAAAATAAGCAAACACGTTTGGTGTTCGTCAAAAGGCATGTGGGAGACTCCCCAAACATATGGAAGAAGGTACTCTGGTCAGATGAGACTAAAATTGAGCTTTTTGGCCATCAAGGAAAATGCTATGTCTGGCGCAAACCCAACCCCTCTCATCACCCCGAGAACACCATCCCCACAGTGAAGCATGGTGGTGGCAGCATCATGCTGTGGGGATGTTTTTCATCGGCAGGGACTGGGAAACTGGTCAGAATTGAAGGAATGATGGATGGTGCTAAATACAGGGAAATTCTTGAGGAAACTTGTTTCAGTCTTCCAGAGATTTGAGACTGGGACGGAGGTTCACCTTCCAGCAGGACAATGACCCTAAGCATACTGCTAAAGCAACACTCGAGTGGTTTAAGGGGACTGATTTAAATGTCTTGGAATGGCCAAGTCAAAGCCCAGACCTCAATCCAATTGAAGGAGCTGGAGCAGTTTTGCCTTGAAGAATGGGCAAAAATCCCAGTGGCTAGATGTGCCAAGCTTATAGAGACATACCCCAAGAGATTTGCAGCTGTAATTGCTGCAAAAGGTGGCTCTACAAAGTATTGACTTTGGGGGGGTGAATAGTTATGCAAGCTCAAGATTTCTGTTTTTTTGTCTTATTTCTTGTTTGTTTCACAAAAATATTTATTTTGCATCTTCAAAGTGGTAGGCATGTTGTGTAAATCAAATGATTCAACCCCCCAAAAAATTCATTTTAATTCCAGGTTGTAAGGCAACAAAATAGGAAAAATGCCAAGGGGAGTGAATACTTTCGCAAGCCACTGTAGACTCCTCTCTAACAGTGATACTGCAGTATTACTTGTTTCTGAACACTTAGACCAAAACAGAGTTTTACTTTGTCTGGCTGATTACTAATTGCTTGGACCTGCCCAATGACAGACATGTAAGACAAGGGTTGCAACACACATTGTTCCCTTGGGCATGCCGCTCTGTCGTGTCTGCCAGCCTCTATGTTGCATTGATCTGTTGTAGATTCTCAGAACCCGTGTTTTACACATCCACTAACATAAATATAACTGGGAAAACTATGAGTACTTCTGTAATACATGGCCCACACAGGAAAGGGTTTCTCCAGTCAGGACCAGACAGTTCCCTTTATTGAGGTTTTAGCAAGGTTTACCAAGACATGGTTTCTCGTTGGCTAATACTATGACACAGCAAAAACGAATTAGAAGCCACTTGATTGCAATAGTGGTGAGAGGCTTGCAAACTGTGGAGCAGTTAGGTTCCCTGTAGCCTCTACACCTTAGGCCATATTGCTTCCATGGCCTATCCAGTCCTCTCAGCATCCTGCCATATGGGGGACAAAACATACAGTTGAAGTCGGAAGTTTACATACACTTAGGTTGGAGTCATTAAAACTCGTTTTTCAACCACTCAACAAAATTCTTGTTAACAAACTATCGTTTTGGCAAGTTGGTTAGTCTACTTTGTGCATGAAACAAGTAATTTTTCCAACAATTGTTTACAGACAGATTACTTCACTTATAATTCACTGTATCACAATTCCAGTGGGTCAGAAGTTTACATACACTAAGTAGACTGTGCCTTTAAACAGCTTGGAAAATTCCAGAAAATGATGTAATGGCTTTAGAAGCTTCTGAAAGGCTAATTGACATCATTTGAGTCAATTGGAGGTGTACCTGTGGATGTATTTCAAGGCCTACCTTCAAACTCAGTGCCTCTTTGCTTGACATCATGGGAAAATCTAACGAAATCAGCCAAGGCCTCAGAATAAAAATTGTAGACCTCCACAAGTCTGGTTCATCCTTGGGAGCAATTTCCAAACGCCTGAAGGTACCACGTTCATCTGTACAAACAATAGTACGCAAGTATAAATACCATGGGACCACGCAGCCGTCATACCACTCAGGGAGGAGACACGTTCTGTCTCCTAGAGATTAACGTACTTTGGTGCGAAAAATGCAAATCAATCCCAGAACAACAGCAAAGGACCTTGTGAAGATGCTGGAGGAAACAGGTACAAAAGTATCTATATCCACAATAAAACTAGTCCTACATCAACATAACCTGAAAGGCCGCTCAGCAAGGAAGAAGCCACTGCTCCAAAACCGCCATTAAAAAGCCAGACTACAGTTTACAACTGCACATGGGGACAAAGATCGTACTTTTTGGAGAAATGTCCTCTGGTCTGATGAAACAAAAATAGAACTGTTTTGCCATAATGACCATCGT